GTCTCGTTAAGACTAGCCCTAAGCCAGGGGTGCCCAAACTCGGTCCTGGAGGGCCGATGTCTTGCAGAGTTTAGCTACAACCCTAATCAAACACACCTGAAGCAGCTAATCAAGGTCTTACTAGGCATACTAGAAACTTCCAGGCAGGTGTGTTGAGGCAAGCTGGAGCTAAACTCTGCAGGACACCGGCCCTCCAGGACCAAGTTTGGGCACCCCTGCCCTAAGCTGTTGCTCCACCTCTGAAGAGGCCTGAGGTGAAGCAACCCTAATGGAATCACGGATGTGGCGGCAGCTAACATCCCCATCAGTTGTAAAAGGACACCATAAGGTATCCTTGCCCCCAGACGGAAACAAGTCAACAACTGAAAAATACTGACTGTTCGAGTGTGAGACAGTGTGGCAGACATTGCGACAGAATTGAGCGTTGTCCCTATGAAGGTTATGGTCTGCTCCGGAACCAAATTACTTTTTGTTTCTTTCACAGTAAGGCCTAGCTTCTGTATATGATCCAGAATAATCTTGGTATCGCTTAGCGTGTGCACTTTCGTTGGGGCACAGAGCAGCCAATCGTCCAAATAAGGCAGAATCCTCATGCCCTTGGACCAAAGAGGAGACAGAGCCGCATTCATGCATCTCGTGAAAACAAGCGGAGCTAGAGACAGCCCGAATGGCAGGACTCTGAACTGATAGACTTGACCCTGTCTATACTATTAATATACTTGTTTGTCATACTATTAAAATAACCAATGTGAAGAATGTCATGAATATATCATGTCGTTTCCCCCACACAAAAATGTAATTGACATTAATTGTCATTGTCACATAAACTTATCAAATTTAAGTACATAAAAAGACTTAAATGCCTTAAACGGCACAAGAAAATACTTTATTATAATTTCAAGAGGTCTAAAACTTGAGGACGGAAAGACAAGAATCATGATGGCTTAATGTGACGATTAACTTCATAAGGGTATGATTTCATTGAATAAACAAACAAAACAAAGTCAAAACTCGCCGCGGGTGTTTTGAAATGAAAGTATCTCTGAAGAGAACCTCCTGCCCTCAGAAAAGTTTTGATGGCATTTTCATTTAATCTTGCCTACGTATAATGTCTGATAATGTAGCGTTAATGAGCGCAGTACTGCTTTATGTACAGTCGTTACCGGGGAAATTATTTGCCTGCTGGCAATTTGCTGTTTTTGTTCAGAACAAATAAAAGGTGCCTTCAAAAATCCAAACGATTATCAAAGCAAGATGTGTGTGTGTGTGTGTGTGTGTGTGTGTGTGTGTGTTAAAGTAAGATAATAATTTATACTTTTGACTAATCCCTTTTCTTAAAAATAGTTTAAAGACTGAAATGTGAGGTTTATCACCATTTAAAACTTTTTGTATTCTTTTTGTATTTCAGGTCTTAAAAAGCCTTACATTTTATTTTAAAAATCCTGCAGATACCCTGTAAATTCTTTTTTACAATTTTGAAATTTATATTCTGTATGTTGGCTATTTATATTAGGCAATGCAATCCAGACAGGTGGTTTTTAATAGCACAATAACTGATCTGATTTAAAGTGAAGAACTAGAAGTATGTATGTAAACATGTATTTTACCACAGTTGTAAAGTGCTGGAAAAGCTTGAAAT